GCAAATTGAATGTGTTTGTGTGATTTGTCAGACAACTCATAAGAAAGACATGTGTAGGCGGGACGGGGTTTTATGCTCATAAGGCTCCTTCGCCTGTGGCGCAATCCAAGGAATTTGTATAAGACAATTTTCTTTGGTCTTGATATAAATGTCTAGTTTTGGTTCATGAATTATGCGTGAGGATGCAGATGTGGATTTGAGGACAACGCACACGGGCCTCGTAATAAGAGACATTTTTACGTTAAAGAGTGCTGAACAACTCTCCATGTTCTTGTCGATATTCAGATCAACTGATCCACTCCTGTTTACTGCCGAAACCACGTCGCGTTATGAAGCTTTATTTCTAAGATTATTGATTCCAAATTTGTACAGCGAATACTCCTTCATTTGGATCCGTCTACAAAAATAATATTTTGTGAGCTAAACATAAATCCGTGGACCTTTTACTTTCACAATCACCTCTGAACATTGAATGTTTGCACGCACCATTCCGTATATTGTTTCTACGCACAATTTCGTTCCTCTATAGTGAAGCCCTTCGACAGGTTTCGTAGATGGAGATGACAGAACATTTTATGAAATGACGCACCGTCACGCAAATAGAACACATAGACGTTAAGCTTACTGCCATATTTCTTAACGGGTCTTGCCATGTGATCAAAGGGGTATGTCCAGCTAGCGCGATAGCTGCTTTCCATTGCATTTATAAGGCACCGGTTCCTTTTGCGAGCATCTGTGATACTCGAAACGTGCGTGGAATAGATTTTAGTCCAGAAGAAAAAGATTCGATCTCTGGGACGACACTTTTATTCGCCTGACGTCTGGATATCCCCAGCGGATTCTTCACCAGAGACAGACAACAATGACACTATGTACAGGCATCTGCACTACTTATAGGGCATAGTCATTACTGCAAACGTACACCGATAATTGCCCTCTTTCGTGCTGACAGCTTGTTGATCTGCATGCAGGCTCCGATTTGCTGAGCCTTCACCACGCGTGGTGGACTCGGGCATAATGATCAGTCGGCCATCTGGCTCTCAGGTGTTAGCGTAAGACAACACGGTGGTCTGTGCCTTCCCCAAGTGGTGACTTGCTTAAACCAAATTGAGTCCCAGCTATGAATGTGAATTGAGCCCATATTCCAATCCGTATTCAATCTATATTTAAGGTTCGCTGACACAGACAGAAAGTTAATGTAAATATTTGGGCAGAACTCCGTTAGCCATTAGGAGGTAGCTGCGTAATACTAGCGCGCTGCCAATTTGCAGAAAGCAGCTTGTAATACCTCTGTTTTTGACAAGCATCCTTGATCCGAAAACCTTCACAACTCTCACATTTTTTCTATCTTTGTTTATACATCTTTTTATTGCTAAGTATAACCCTGCGTTTTCGGATTTAGGGCAGGGGTCATGGTTGCTAACTCAACTGCAGGCTGTCATTATTTTTCTGACAGGCCATATATGGTTGCAAATTGGCGGTCTTTGTGTGACCTGTCAGACACCTCATGACAAGGGAAAGCGTAGGCAAAACGGGGTACTGTCGACCCACCCTGGTTGCTCGGATGTCTGTTTACTGTTAATAAAGCTCCGTCGTCTGTGGTGCACTCCAAGAAATTCGCAAAAATCAACAATGTGTGGTCTTGGGATAAATGTCCAGCTTCGGTTCTTTGATTATGCATGATGAAGCAGATGTGGATTTGGGGATAACGCAACCGGGCCTCCTGTTTAAGGGACACTTCTACGTTAACGATCAATAAGCAACACACTGTACTCTTCTGGATCCCTAAACCAGCCTAACTACTCCTCTTTAATGCCGAAACGATGCGGCGTTATGCAGATTTATTTCTCAGATTATAGACTCTATACTTGCACAGGCGATACTCCTTCCTTTGGATCCATCTAATGAACTAACATGTAGTGAGCTTAACACATATCCGTGGACTTTATACTTTTGCAAACACCTTCGAACATTGAATGTCTCAACGAACCATTTCGCATGTAGCTGCTACGCATGGGTTCGTTCGTCTATAGAAAAGCCCTTCGAAAGGCTTCGTAGATGCAGGTAACAGAACACTGTATGAACTGTATGAACGCAAATAGAACATGTAGACATTAACTCTACTGTCAATACTAGCGAACAGGCATGTCCCAGGAAGCAACTGAGAAGAAAAGTCAGGCGAATGAACGTATTGTCCCAGCGATCGAGTCTTCTTCTTCTCAATTAACTTTACTGCCCGTTACCCAGCGCCTCCATTCACATATTCCTTAACGGGCCTTGCCATGTGACCAAAATTGGTGTGTCCAACTAGCGCGATAGCTGCCGTGCCCGTCCTTCTTCACTGCTGTGGAGTAGATTTTAGTCTAGAAGAAGAAGATTTGATCTCTGGGAAAACACTTTTATTTGCCTGACGTTTCGATATCCCTGGCGGATTCTTCATCAGAGACGGACAGACAGCAACAGCAGAAACGGATAACATATGCGCAGTTCTTTGCACTACGTATAGGGTATAGTCACTACTGCAAACGTACAAGGTTAATTGCCTTCTTGTGTGCTGACAGCTCGTTGACCGGCATGCGGTCTCTGACGTACTTAAATTCCAACACGCGTGGTGGACTCGGGCAGGATGTTTGTTCTGCCATCTTGTTCTGCCATCTAGCTAGCATAAGACAACACGGTGGTCTGTGCCTTCCCCAAGTGGTGACTTGCTCAAGCCAAATTGAGCCTCAGCTATGAATATGAATTGAGTCCATATTCCAATCCATATTCAATCTATATTTAAGGTCGGCTGAGACAAACCGAAAGTTAATGTAAGTATTTGAACATTACTCCATCAGCCATTAGGAGGTAGTCGCGTAATACTTGTACGCTGCCAAGTTGCAGAAAGAAGTTGGCAATAACTGTGTTTTTGACAAGCATCCTTAATTTGAAACCCTTCACAACTCTCACATTTTCCCATCATTTTTACACAATCTTTTAAGATCTAAATATAACCATCCCTTTTCCAGTTTAGGGTGAGAGTAACGGGTGCTGACTCAACTGCAGGCTCTCATTATGTTTCTGACAGGCCATATATGGTTTCAACTTGACGGTCTTTGTATGACCTGTCAGACATCTCATTAGAAAGAAATGTGTAGGCGGCCCAGGGTTGACCCAGCCTGGTCGTTCGGATGTCTGTTTACTGATAATAAAGCTCCTTCGTCTTTGGTGTACTCCAAGGAATTTGCAAAAATCAATAATCTGTGGTCTTGGGATAAATGTTCCTTTTGGGTTTTTTAATAATGTCTGAGAATGAAGATGTGGATTTTGGGATAATGCACACGGGTCTCGTGATAAGGAGACGCATTTATGTTAGAGAACGAGAAGGAACACGCTGTGCTCTTGTCGATGCTGCTTACTGCTAAAACCACGCAGCATTATGAAGATTTCTTTCACAGGGTATGGTTTCATACGTGGACAGCCAATATTCCTTCGTTTGGATCCGTCTAGGGAAATAATTTATAGTGTGCCAAACATATATCCGCGGATAGGATATTTTTACAGACACCCTTGAACACTGAATGGTTGAGCGCACCATTAAGCATGTAGCATATAAGCATATGCTCGTTTCTCTGTAGTGAACCCTTCGTAGATAAAGGTGACAGAACATATTATGTAATGAGGCACCGTCACGCAAATAGAACATGTAGACATTGACTCTACTGCCAATAACCCAGCGACTTTATCCGTATATTTCTTAAAGGGTCTTGCCATGTGACCAAAATGAGTATGTCCAGCTAGCGCGATAGCTGCTCTGCAGTCTGCATTCACTGCTGTGCATAGCATTTCTAAGCCACCGGTTCTCTTCGCGAGTATCCACCGGTTCTCCAAACGTTTTGGAACAGATTTTAGTTCCGTCCTGTTAGAATCACTACTATAATTTTCTTTAGTCTTGCACTTACCCGAGTTCCAAGTTTGTTCTTATTCTTGGACACTGATAAGGTATTAGCAAAATTGAGTAGTAGATTGAAGAACAAAAAAGATACTGGGAACCCTTCTTAACACACGCCCATGCCTAAATACTACAATGT